ACTTGGCTGGGGCATGTCCCATCACTTCTAGTCAGTTAGAGGCTCTTTTTTCAGACATAGTTAGATTCAACTTTTTATTTGAGTGTGATGTTTCTTTTGTATTAAACTCTCAGATTTGATATTCAGTTTTAGTATATAGGTATTCCCTATCATTTTAGATTTACTTATTATTAGCTTCCGCAATAGTTTTATTTCTCAGTTTTTCTTTAGTATGCTCATGATTATACCAGCAGGGTTAGCTTGGGGTCACTTGTGATCCTAGGTCCCGTGTCCGCGTCTCGGCGGTATCTCGGGGCATGACATACTCTATGATGTTTCTAGCTTTGATTAGTAACTTTATTGTACTTTTTCATGGATGATAATATGAATATGATTAATGGATATTCAGTCGGATTTTACTTAGCACCGTGAGGATATTGAGATGGAGGCTCTCCCGTACAAAAGGTTAGGTCTCTAGTAGGAATCTACTTGTCCCATAACTATGTGCCACCATAGAATATTATCTGAGTTAGACATTAGCTAGTGGATCCACTTTAGCTCAAACTTATGGTTCTTACCTTTGCAAGCAAGAACATTCCTCTTCGGTGTGGGACAGACACTAGATTCCATGTTATACCTCATATGGTCTATGTCGGTTATATGGTAAACATCCCACAATAATGAACTAAGGTTACTTTCGAAGTAAATAAAGTGTTTTAAAGATGTTAAGCTTGCATTGACCATGATTATGACTTATGTTTTCTAACTCTTTTATCTCATGATTTAGCTTGGTCATTGCATGTCATGAAAAGTCCTTTTAGCATGATTTTATACTTTTTATGCATTGTTATCATACTTAGTACATTTTATGTACTAATTCATACTTGTGCCTACATTGTTTTACTAATGTAGGGTCCGACGCTCCTATCTCTCACACTCATGGCTAGTTGATCTTTTGGCACTCAAATATTGGTGAGTCCTCATGATTTGAGGACCAAGACACTTTTATTGCTTTCTTTATTTCAATTTTCATACTTTGTATGTGATGTATGGGTTACGTCCCAATAACTTCCTTGTGATGTAATAGATGTCTTATTGAGACTTATAATAGACTTTCACTTTTGTCAAACTCTTTTATGATATAAGACTGTTCTTTTGAAATCTTTATTTTTATTATCCTGATGTATGTCAAGTGTCTTGTATAGGGACTCTCGGGGTTCTATACACCATGTTACACCTAGGGTATACTTTGGATCGTGACAGGATTGTATCAACAAATCCTTTTGAGAGGATTGTGGTTCCTGACACTGATCAGTAAATGCGGCAGTTTCAAGATATATAGGATTGTTGTCAGGATTCCCAAGGGCATGTGCATAAGGCCTGTTGGTAGTTGATACTGGTGGCATACCTTGAGCATAAGAATTATTTTGAGGGTATGATGTGTGATTTTTATGATAGGTAGAATTCAAATGTTGCTTGTTTGCGGAAAGAATATTAGTAAAATTTGGTTTATTGTTAGGACGAGAGCTAGGATGAGTTGGTATAAAATGACTCAGGAAGGAGGCCTGATTCATAATAGCATGGTCATCTATGTCTGCATGATGAGTGGTAGTATATACACTCATTTGAGGTCTATTTAGCTCAATAATTAGTGTCCTCAATGCCTAATTTTGTCCTATTCTTATGATATATTGATGATTTGCAGCAATGAAAGTAAATGGACAAGACAATGGTTGATGTTTGAAACAATCACCAAAAATGCAAAAAAAAAGTACAAACTACACAGTGTTGATCGCTTAACAAGACAGGCGAATCACTAAATAAACTTGAGACCGCCTAAGTCGACAGTGCACTGAGTCAACTCTCAAGGTCAATTGGCGAAGTTAGATAAGAATGATATCCACCAAAAGACAAAAGGTGAAGTGAGTGGATATCACCAAATTTGATAGTGTTGACAGATAAAATGATGGTCCAAACGGCGACATGAGGTGGCAATCAACGATTCACCAATTTGACAAAAGCGAACTCAAACGGGATCGCCGAATAAGGCTCAAACACCTAAAATAAGAAAAAGTTGATCGAAGAAAGATGGGTGATTTACCGAATGTGATTGGTGAACTCAACTAACGTCACCAAATGAGACGCAAGGTTAATTTTTTGACAAAATTTTGAGAAACTATAAATAGCCCAGTAAAGAGAGAAAGAGGGTGTGAATATTGAGAGAAATAGTCTGAACATTCTAAAGAGAGAAACATTTTTCATTGAGTGAGAACACTTTTAGTTTGAGTTTTTCAGATTTGTGAACTTGAATTTGGTTATTTGAGGTTGAATTTGAAGTGAGTTTTCTATCAAGTTCTCAATTTCATGCTACCCATGGCTATCTTAATGAAATGTATAATTTATTTACACTTTGCAATGTGTGGCTAAAACCTCAAACTCTTGGGGTGTGATTATGGGGTTGAGTGTTGATGTAATTTAGTGGGTTTATTGAATTGCTCTGTTTTATGTAAAGGTTCTCCCCCTAGCCACTGTTCAAGGGCCACGATCATCACAACGGCCCATGAAGCCCCACACAGACTGTGAAGTAGTCCGCGAAGGGTTTCATTAGACTTAGAATTTGGGGTCAACTTCAAACGATCATATATTTTAGCTCAAAACGAATTAGGTGGCCCATGACCTATCAAATTAAAGATCTCTGAGTCCTCTTTCCGACGCCACCAAGTTTGCCTAATTCCAAGCTCGGAGTAAAAAGTAATGCCCAAAATAGTAAAGCCCTGTCAGGCAGGATTTCTTCACGACCCGTTTGACGGGCCGTGGACCCGTGGTGGTCATGATGACCCATTTTGGCTTTCTAGTGAGCCAATTCGGCAATTTTTAAGTCAGGGGTTGTTGGATCGATCTTTTATCAATTATTTTAACTCAATACTACGTCGTTTTGCCTTCTACCCAAAGCCCTATATAATGATTTTAAACCCCCAAATCACCCAAACTCAATTCATTGTCTTAAATTTCCAAAAGTTGATCAAGCTCTTCCTCTCAAATATTTCTCTCTTTAGAAGTTGAAGAAGAAAGCTAGGGTTCCAAGATCAAACCTCCAAATCCTCCATTGCTTCCATGCTTTTGGCATCAAGGTATGATAATTTTCATCCATGGAGCCCTTTCCTCCATGGAGTTCCTAAATTCTCCAATTTTCAAGATAGAAATCTCCAATTGAAATTATGAGTTTCTTCCATGTCATGAGTTCCTTTCAATGTTGATTTATTTGATTGATTTATGAACTTTTATGCATGAATTGAAGTAATTGCATTTTTTAAAGTTGATTTCCCATGAACCCTTGCATAACCCATGTTTTCTAAGCTATGTTGATATAATGTGGGTCTTGAACTATGAAAGATGAATTTATAAAATATGCATGTCTTCTCTTTATGAAATAGATGTAAATGAATTTGAAGATGCATTGACTTTGAAGACATGATGAAGCTTATGAATTATTGAAAAGAATGCATGTTCATGAAAGTATGTTTATGACTCAAGAAAGCTTATCGATGAGATTGTCAATATGTTCTATAAAGCTTGGCCACATGACATGAATGACATCTAGATTTGCCCTCAATGTTTTTCGGGATATTTCCCTGAATTAGGTCTTGATTAGTATGGTATCCAGATATGCCATCAATGATTAGAGACTACGATTTCAAAACTATTTCCATTAGTATGAGGGGCATCTCTAGCATGAAGTGAATGACTATGGGCCTTAAAAGCTATTATGAAAGATCATAGACGATGAAATATTTTCTCACGCATGGTCTAAGGAGCAATTCTATGATAAGACAAGTGGCGACTACCCACGACTTTTAAATATAAGACAAGTTAAGATTAATAACTACTCTGTGGGATTTATGCTTAGCACCGAGAGGATATTGAGATGGAAGCTTTTCTGTGTTGAGGTCAGGTTTCTTGTAGCAATCTCATTATCCCTTACCTATGTGCCCCCATAGGATGATGGTCTAGATAGACATTAGATAGTGAATCCACTTTAGCTCAGATTCATGGTTCCACCTTGACAAGTAGGACAACCCTTTTCGATGTGAGAGACATCAGATGATCATGTTATAGCTCACATGGTCTTTATGTCGATTAAGGCTAATTTCCACAATAGTAATGAACTAAGGTTACTTCAAGAAGCATTTCACATGTGTTCAAAGATTGTTTTACTTGCATTGATCATGATTACGTTTTATGTTTTCTAACCCTTTTATCTTATGTTTTAACTTGGTCTTCGCATATCACTAAAATGTCCTTTTTAGCATGATTTCATATTTTTATGCATGACTATCATACTTGGTGCATTTTTGTACTAACGCATACTCTTGCCTACATTTAATTCCCCAAATGTAGGGTCCGATGATTCCTATTCATACCTCCGTGGCTAGAATATCTTAGTAGTTGAAGACTAAAGATTGGAGAGGCCTCATGTTTCGAGGACCAAGCCTTTATTTCATTATGTTTTCATTTTAGTTTTGAACTCGATATACGTGCTACGCCTGATAAACTCTTATGTGCTAGATGACTTTGAGACGATGTTTAGATTTCCGCTTTTCTCTATAAAACTTTTATATGTTGAAACTGTCTTTTTAAATTTTTTAAACTCTATTATCTTGTATGATGTATGCTAAGTGGCTTGTATGGAACCTTTCCAGGTCTTGTACGCCATGTTACGCCTAGGGGCTACCTTGGGTCGTGACATACCCTAACTTCATTGTACCTCAAGAAAAATAATAGGTCTTCATTCTTCTCCCTATTTTCTTCTTCTTATTATTTTATAGGTTCATGAAAACAAATTTTGAGGCATTTTTCAAATTTCAAATTACATTTAAAATTTTCATAATAAAAACTGATATTTAAATAAAGTATTTTTCATTTTGAATAATTGTGGTCATCAAACTGCAAATAAAAGAGATTAGTTGATAGTTGAAGAGTCCAATTTTATTTTATTTTTAAAAACAATTGAAATGTGAGAGAATCTTTGTAGTTGAGCATTAGTATGGGAGTTGTTACTTGAGGTTTCAATTTGTGTAATTGAATCGTATCCTGCCTTTAATTCCCATTTACGTATATATATATATATATATACAGTAATAAATAATATATGTTTTTGTTAATTCAACATTCTTTCAATGGCATTGGCATCTGAGATCTCAATCGCCGGAATCCTGGCTAGTAGCGCTATCGCTGCTTGTTTTGCGGAGGTATTTTTCTTGTGTCTCTGAAGTGATTGATATTGTTAATTTAGAAGATAACTAGTTGATTAGATCTGTGAATTTGCAGTTGTGTACTTTACCTCTAGACACCGCTAAAGTTAGACTACAGTTACAAAAGAGAGCAGGGGAAGGTTCCGGCAAGTACAGGGGATTATTAGGTACAGTTGCTACAATTGCTAAGGAGGAAGGTTTATTAGCTCTTTGGAAAGGCATTGTACCTGGCTTACATCGACAATGTATATATGGAGGCCTAAGGATTGGGTTATATGAGCCTGTAAGTATTCATTTGTGGAATTTATACTCCTATTTCCTTAAAGAATATAGTAACAGTTTTTGATTCATTACATCAGGTCAAGGCCTTCTTTGCACATACCTATTATGTTGGAGATGGTTCCTTATTCACTAAAGTGTTTGCTGCTCTTGTTACTGGTGAGATAAACTTGATCATCACACTCTTATGATAATTGTATTTATTGACGGTTGACCTCTTCTTTCCAAATTTCCAAAGGTGCAATCGCAATTGCTCTGGCTAATCCAACTGATCTTGTAAAAGTTCGGCTCCAGGCTGAAGGTAAAGCTGGTACACCTAGGCGCTATGATGGTGCTTTCAATGCATACTATACCATAGTGAAACAGGTGATTGAGGATCTAACATGCACAACAAATTTATTCATGCACAATCATTTACATATTTTAGTTGCTCAAATTGTAGGAAGGGCTGGCAGCTTTGTGGACAGGAATTGTGCCAAATATTGCACGGAATGCTATTATCAATGCTGCTGAACTGGCCAGTTATGATCATCTCAAAGAGGTACATCTAATCATATTTTGATTCACCTGCTGTACCTCGACTACTTTTCTGCAACTATTTCATACACTGCTTCTCTGAAATTATATCATATGCAGATAATTTTAAAACTTCCAGGATTTACAGACACTGTTTTAACTCATCTCATAGCTGGTTTAGGTGCTGGATTCTTTGCAGTTTCTATCGGTTCTCCAGTTGATGTGGTAAAATTCCCTGTTCCTCAATATGTTAAAAGTGTTTTTAAGTGAATTCAATAAAACAGATTATCTACCTATGGAACCTGCATTTTCTTTTTGGCTTTATCTGTTTTAAATTGTTTGAACCTGCAGTTTCTATTTGGCTCTATCTGTTTTAAATTGTTTTTTCGGAGAAATTACTCTTTTTTCTAATCATGGGAATTCTTATTGTTTTGAGACCAGAAATTTTTGAGATAAGATATAGGAAATGCACCAAAATGTGGCATAGCTGGTGCTTGCATGCCACTATTGTAAAAGAAAAGAAAAGAAGGTTTGGAGGACTGATGTCGCAACTTAATTATCTATACCTTTTCGTTCCAAGCTAGTTACGGTCAGTGTACATATTCTCAATATTCAGTTCACTCTAGTGGGTCTCAATTTGAGTTTGGTGACTAAAGGATTTATTAATGTTGATTGTTAACCATCTGCAAGCCTCCACCTTTATCTGAACGTCGGACCAGCTATGCTTTTTGAAGCTCATATAGGCGGAGTTGATTTAAACCCTTGGGCACTGTTAGTATGGAAGAATAAAAGAAACCATAAAATCCGGTAGAACTGATACAAGTGTTGTGTTGTATATTGCCTAGCTAGATATCAGTGCATTTTATCTTTCAAGCAATTGATTTTAGAAGAAAGTGAATGACCAAGTAAGTTGTAGTTGAGATCATGTGGCTATTACTATCATACTCTTAGGGCTTAGCTATATCTATCATATTTGGTTGCATGTTCGAATTCCATTAGGATGTCGTAAACCATACCAAAAGTTTTAGTTTGAACCAGAAAGTGGAAATCCCCTTCGGACTGACTTAAAATCCCATCAAGCTTAATTCCATGTTATTGTTGATATTTATGTTATTCTTACTTTTTGTTTTTCGAAAAATGAAGTTCTTGCTGAAATTTTTTAATATGGAGGTATGGAAAGCATCATAGAGAAATTTGAGAAGAAGTTGGCTTTATGGCAGATGCAATACCTTTCTTGAGGGGGCAGGCTTACAGACACAAACAATGTCCTAGATAATATTCCCTCACACTACATGTCTCTCGACCCTATGCCAAAAAAGATATAGCTACAGCTAGACACAATTAGAAGGAACTTCCTATGTAAAGGAAACACCAAGTTCCATAAATTCTATTTGTCAAGTGGCCAAAAGTCACACTCCTCCCTAAGCACCTGGGTGGTTTAGGCATCAAGAACTTGGCTGTCCAAAATAGATGTCTGATTATGAAATGGTTATGGAGGTTCAATAGGGACATAGCATTATGGAAGAGGTGGTCTCTGAAAAACATGGAATCCAGTCACACTGGTGCACCAAAGTCTCCAGAGCACCATTTGGGGTTGGCCCTTGGAAGTACATTGCTAAACTCTGGGAAGAATTCAACCAGCATCGTAAATACCAAGCTGGCTGTGGTTTACATGTTAAGTTCTGGACAGATGGATTGGTAACACCACTCTCCAGAATGATCCAGCTCTCTACTCAATATCAAGCAACCCCAATTCCTTATCTCCCAGAGCAGAGACAACAACACTTAAGCTCCAATCTCCAAAAGACACTTCGAAGCAGTGTTTTGGACAGCGAGAGGCGACAAAAGGCGACAAGGGCCTGCCTCGCCACGTGGCGAGGCGAGCGGCAAGGCGATCGCCTTTTTGAATCAAGGCGCCAATTAATACCAAAAATTAAAAATATTTAATTGCATATATAAATATCCAAAATCTCAATAGCAATAACATATATTAGCAAATATTTCAATTCA